AAGCCGTGGCTCACCCTCCCCAGGACTCTGTCACAGCAGCACAGGCAGTAGCAGCCCTGGCTGTCCTGCACCACTACTGCCCCCTCACTTTCTTACAGTCCTGAGATGACTGGCTGCACACACCTCTTTACCTGTTCTGCTCTCCGCACCCCTCTCCTTAGCTTCCCTCTAGCTACAGGAGTTTAGGGCTCAGTGATGGAGGAACACTGAGACCAACCATGGTGTTCCTGCCCGGACTCCATACAGCCTTCCCTCAGTTCTGTCTTCACCAGCACTGAGGTGGGTAACTCTGGGATGAGTGCTGTGAGGCTGACCAGACGATCTGAAAGCCAGACCAACACCCGCAAGACTTCCTCTTGCCCTCGTACCTGGCCCGCTTTCCCCTAGGTGATGGGTAAGATGTGACACTGGCTGGTGTGGTAGTAACTGAGTGCACCCTGGCAGGAAGAGTGGGGACTGCTGGGCCCGTCGCAGAAGGAGCTGTACTGGGATGTGATGCTGGAGAAGTACGGCGCAGTGATGTCTCTGGGTGAGGGCTCCAGCCGTTCCCTGACCCGTCCACCTTCCCTTCCCTGTGCAGCTCCCAACTGTACACTTGGTGGCATTAGGACTCCTCGGTAGCTGCCCAGCACCTGGCCGTAGGTCCCTCTATCCAAAGAGGGTTCTGTATGCACAGCCCCAGCTGCCATCCCCTCCCCAGTTCTGTGTGCCTGTACCCTGTCTGACATCCCCCACCCCAACAGGGCTGCAGCCCCCTGGGCAGGTGATGGCAGCTGAGTCTGAGGCCGGGACGCGGGGCATGGAGCCTCAGCACTTGGGAGCGGGGGACACAGGGCCAGGCCTTGGCCAGGCCTGTACACCCCATCCAGGTGAGAGCCAGAGTCTGAACAAGAACCCATCTGAAACTCAAGAGGGGCCAGCCCCAAGACCACTGCCCAGGCCCTGCTCCCAGCCTACGCCACAAAGGCCTTACACCTGTGAGCAGTGTGGCCAGAGTTTCGACTGGAAGTCACTGTTTGTCATCCACCATCGAACACATGTGGGTGGGGCAGGCCCAGAGAGGCCGTCACAGGTGCTCCGGGAGCCAGCGATGCGCCGGAGCTACTCCTGTGAGGACTGCGGGCGCAGCTTCAGCTGGAAGTCGCAGCTAGTCATCCACCGCAAGAGCCATGCAGGCCAGAGGCGGCACTTCTGTGTTGACTGTGGCTGTGGTTTTGATTGGAAGTCCCACCTGGTCATTCATAGAAAAAGCCACCTGCCCCAGGCCCCGTGACCCTCGAGAAGGTGTTGGCTTTAGGGGCTGCAGGCCTAAGTGCGGCACCCCAGCACAGGCTCTGCCTCTGGAAGCTCTGGGGACAGTGAGGACCCCATGTGGACCAATGGTACCAAGCTTGCTCCTGCCGGCTGTCAGGCCCAGTCCTCATTCTAGAACCCCAAACTGCCTTGGCCTGTCCTCTGCACAGTGGCAGGGCCTGGTCTTTGGAAAGTGCTGGAAGCCCAGCAAAGCACAGCTGGGACCATCCTCCTGTGTGAGACCCCAGGGTCTCCATGTGCTACATTTTTAAACAAAAATTATACTTCTATAATGGGAGTTTCTGAATAAAAATCCTGATTTGAGGCAAGAATAGCCCAGTGCTCTCTGCCTGTCATGGGAACCACAGGAAAACTGCCCAGGATCCAGAGGGACTGGGATTGGGTGTTGACGGGCCAGGGCTTGGGGCAGTAAGGGCATTTCCTTTTGAGACCTCCTAAAGGACAGGTGCAAGTACATGTCTCGTGCCATGTGCAGGCCACTGCCGCCCCTGACTGGCAATCGTGCAGCAGGCCAGTGTGCTGCTGGATATTTTGGAGATAAGAGTATAGCGCTTTTTTTTCCTGATGGGCCTCAAGCCATGATCCTCCTGATCTCAGTCTCCTAAATAGCTAGGGTTACAGTCATGAGCCAGTGGCACCTGGCTAATGATTACCTTTAATCCTTACAAATAGTGTAGTAGCAAAAAATGTGAATGATGAAGGCAGCTGGGGTTCAGGGAGACATGAATAGTATAAAGTGCTGGTAAACTTGTAACTCAAGGTCCAGTGAGCTCTTTCATGACATATTTGTCCTTCATTTCACATCTATAAGGAGGGACTGGGTAATACAAACTACCTCTGACTTGGGGCTGCCCCCACCAATAAGGGGAGAATACCACAACCTTGTCTGTGAGATGCCTTAGAGATGAAATGTCAGTTGAGAAGTAAACAGCTTTGGCTTGTTCCTGGGATAGCCCATGAAGATCCTCAGAGGTTTTTTTTTTTTTTTGGTCAGTTCTGGGGCACTGTCCCTCAGCTCTTCAGCTCAAGGCTAATGCTCTACCACTTGAGCCATAGCACCACTTCTGGTGTTTCTGGTGGTTTATTGGTGATAGTCTCATGGAGTATGCTGCCTAGGCTGGCTTTCAACTGCGATTCTCAGATCTCAGCTTCCTGAGTAGCTGGGATGACAGGTGTGAACCACCAGCACCCAGCTTCTCACTTTTTTTTGTCGGTTGTGGGGCTTGAACTCTGGGCTTGGGTGCTGTCCCTGTACTCTTCAGCTCAAGGCTAGTGCTCTACTGCTTGAGCCACAGTGCCACTTCTGGTTTTCTGATGTTCCTGCCTGGGCTGGCTTTGAACCATGATCCTCAGATCTCAGCCTCCTGAATAGGATTACAGGTGTGAGCTACCAGTGCCAGGCTCTCCTCACTTTTTTTCTTTCTTTTTTTTTTGGGGGGGGTCCGGTTATGGGGTCTGGGAGCTGTCCCTCAGCTCTTCAGCTCAAGGCTAGCGCTCTACCACTTGAGCCACAGCGTCACTTCTAGCTTTTTTCTTTTTGCTTATGTGGTGCTGAGGAATCGAACCCAGGGCCTCAGGCATGCAAGGCAAGCGCTCTACCAATGAGCCACCTTCCCAGCCCTCTCCTCACTTTTTTATAATGCCTCTTCCAGCTGCTGAAATGCAAGAAGCCGATTCCCACCATCCAATGTCATCTGACTGTTGGGGGTCTCCAAAGTTCAGGATAGTCAGAAGCGTTGCCACTTCCTTGTGACCGTCATTCATGGAGCACAAAGAGCCTTCAGGATGTCAGAGGTGTGCAGGCCAGGCCTATGGGTGAGGAGGAAGCCACCCAAGCCCAGGCCCAACAGGTCCAGAAACAAAACTAAAGTAACAGAGACCAGAGTTGGTGGGTAGGCCAGACAGAGGTGCAGGTTGTACCCTGCTGGTAGTTTCCCCTGGGGAGTGTCAGGGTCTGGCCACCACTAGGACTTAGAGGCCAAAGCCCAGGACTTCACAGTAGGTATGGTGAGAGGGCAGAGGCCAGGCTTCAATTCCCTCTCTCTCGTGTGTGTGTGTGTGTGTGTGTGTGTGTGTGTGTGTGTGTGTGTGTGTGTGTGTGTGTGTGTGTGTGTGTGTGTGTATCCTGGGGCTCAAGACTATAGAGCTCTACCACTGTGAGCCACAATGCCACTTTTGGATGGTTATTTGGAGGTAAGCATCCCACAGAGCTGGGCACCAGTGGCTCAGGCCTGAAAGCTATGCAGGAGGCTAAGATCTGACAATAATGGTTCAAAACAAGCCTGAGCAGGAAAGTCCATGAGACTCTCATCTCCAGTTAACTACCAGAAAACCAGATTTGAGCTGTGGCTCTAAGTGTTAGAGCACTAGCCTTGAGTAAAAAAGTTCAGGCACAGTGCCCAGGCCCTGAGTTCAAGCCCCACAACTGAACAAAAAAAAGAATTTCACTGACTTTCCTGCCTGGGCTGGTTTCAAGTAGTTAGGACTTCAGGTGTGAACACCGGCACCCAACCATGTCAATTACTCTCCCTAAACACCCTTTAAGGACACTATTGTATGCCTCATTTTTTCCACTGAAGGAAACAGGCCTGGAAGGCAGGTGATTCTAGGAGTCAAGCTCTGTAATCCAAATACATATGCTTTCCTAAATTTTATACATCAAACACTTTGGTAATGGATTGACTGAGTGGTTTTCCTCGTCCATATCCAGATGCCATCTTTGTCTGACTGTAGGAAATGTAATGAAGGCCTCACTGACTTACAAAGTATAAATCATGAAAGGGTTCTTAGAGACTGAAATGATCAGTTAGTTGATCAGTTAGTTGATGCAGGTAGCTCATATTTGTAATGCGAGCTATTCAGTAGGCTTAGACTTGAAGATGGAAGTTTGCAGCCAGCTGTACAGAAGGCTGTGAGACTCCATCTCTAAACAGCAAAAAGCTGTAAGTGGAGGTGTGGAACCAGTCCTGAGCAAAAAGAGCCAAGGAAGAGCAAGAGACCCTGAGTTGTACTAGCCCCAAGGCTGTATCTTTTCTGCTCCAGACAATGGCTCCATTCCTAATGAGGCTGAAGTTTATGGACCCTTCCCTTGCTCCTTGTTTATCTGTGTGGGGTGCAGCCTGTGCTTCCTCCTTCAAAGGCCAGGTCAGGCTGTGCACTGTGGCTGACTGAGAGGCTTAGGGATCTGTAGAACCATTTCACAGACATTGTGGTGGCCCCCATCTGTATCTCAGTGCTCAAAAGATGGGCAAGAAAATCACAAGTTAAGGCCACTCTTAGTGACATGGTGAGTTTGAGGTAAGCCTGGGATATATGGTGAGACCTCCTTTCAATAACAAACAAAAGTAGTTTGTTCTATTCCCCTCTGCCCCATTCCAGTGTCTCTGGGCTTTGTCAGACTATGTATGCATCCATAGCATTCCTCACACCCTGCAGATCACAAGACACATGCACTGTTCCATCTTGACTCTGCCCCAGTAACCTCAGTCCCCAAAAGACCACAGTTGGAGTCAGGACGCTTCTCTTTCTACCCTACATTATCAGCAAAGCTGGCTGCTAGCTGTTCCACTACACCTTTGAATGCCAGACAGGAATATCCCCAGGGTTGAGGTCCCTGCCCAGGACCCAGGACTCCTGTCCTGGAGGACACTGGATCCTTCATTTTCCACTGTTTCATAGGCACACGGTTCTATGTATACATTGTTTATTTTCACTGTTCTGGTACCCTTATGCATTCGGGCTCAGAACTTGGTACAGGAACGGGGTGGAAGTGATCCTGGGGTGTTAGCCTCAGCTCCGTTGGATGTCTTGTGGGCTAGCCAGGTCAAAGCTTCCACAAACCCTGACACACAGCCTGGTACGTGTCTGCTGTCAGGGGCCGGAAGGCCTGGGCTTTGTTGTCCAGTATGAACAGGGGATCAGTGATGACCCCTACATCGAAGCCCTCACGCACCAGGCGGGACTTCACTAGTTTGAATGTGCTTGTGATTTCCAGGGCGTCCTGCGGAGCGGTGGTTGTCATTCCCTGTCTGTGACACCCACCGCTGTCCCATTGCAGGACCCCTCACCGGCCACTGTGGCCCCCCCAACTCACCTGGATGCGGACGAAGTGGGGAGCAGCGTAGGCAGGGAGCCAGGTGCGGACATGCTGGTAGAGCCTCTGCCCATCGAAAGCCTGACCGGGGGCCAGCTGCACGGCAGCCATGCCCACTTTACCCTCACAGCCTGGGAAGCACAGGGATCACTCTTGAAGGACTCACCTCGCGAGGCCAAGGTGGGCCCTCCAGCCTGCCCAGGCCCTAAACTTCCCCGCGCCCCAGTAGTTCATGCATCTGCAGAATCGGTAACAGAACTCCCTCCACCCACACAGCTGCCCGAGGTTCTGCACCTGGCACAGACACGCCGTAGACATTCACTTCCCGCAAGAAGTCCACGCGGGACAGTACGGCCTCCACATCCCGCGTGGACACATTCTCACCCTTCCATCTACAAGGCAGAAGCCAGAGGTAGGCCCCGCCCCCGGATCTCACCCGCGCGCCGGAAGCCCCGCCCACGAGCGCAGGCCCCTTCCCACTCTGGAGGTCCCGCCCATCCGGGAAGTCCCGCCCCGCCCCAGGACCTGAAGGTGTCCCCCAGGCGGTCGCGCCAGTACAGGAAGCCCTCACGGTCCGCAGCTAGCACGTCCCCGGTGTTGTAGTAGACGTCGCCCGCGCGCCGCACGTTCCGCACCAGTTTCCGCTCCGACTGCTCCCGGGGACCGCGGTAGCCCAGGAAGGGGCTGCGGTCCAGCACCCGGGTCAACAGGAGGCCGGCCTCACCTGGAGGTAGCGGTGGTACCAGCGGACCGAGAGACCGGACCCCGCCCGCCCTCCGCCCCAGGGTCCCGGCGGGAAGAGGGACAGGGCGAAGGCTCGGGACGCAGGGTGCGACCTCCGCTGGAGGCCGGCGAGAGCCGCTCGGAGGACAGAGGCACGGCGATGGGGGGCACGGAGCCCAGGGTTGGACAGGCCCAGAGGCCAGTAAAGGAGTGGGGTCTGTGGGGGCCGGGCCGTCCAGCCACGTAGACCGCGTGTCCAGCTCCTCCCTCCCCCGTGTCCTGAGGACACGCCGCCCTCACCTGGACCCACAGGGATGCAGAAGCCCCTTGTGTCCCGCAGCGGCTCGGCCTTCTCCGTGTCAAATCGCACGAGCACCATGGGAGACAGCATCTATGCAAAGGCGGGGGCATGGGCCAGGCCGGGGACTACGTGGGGCCGGGGGCGTGGGCCAAACACGGGGACGTGGCCCGAGCACGGGGGCTGGGGGTGTGGACCAAGCACGGGGGACCGCCGGGCCAGGGGCTGCGCTGGGCCGCGGCTCCTGCCACACCAGCGCCTCTCACTTACCTGAAGGAGGCAGCTCGTCTTGCCCACCGCCCCGCAGCGCCCTGGGTAGTTGATTAGGCCTACGTTGCCCTCTGTGGAGCCATATAATTCCCAGATCCGAACGGGACCAAAACGCTGCTGGAAGGCTTCCCACACGTCCTTCTGGAGCCCGTTGCCCATTGCCATTCGGACTGTATGCATCCTGTCTTCTGGCCGCTGCAGGAATGTCCAAAAAAGGGTGAGGAGGAGAAGGTGCCTTGGGGTCATGCCCCTTCCTGGAGGAGGGGGTAGCTCTTGGAAGCTTTACCTTGGTAGTTGTACAAGGGGTGATGGGAAACTTACATCTGAGGACCTACCTGTGGTTCTTTTTTTCTTTTTTTTTTTTTTTTTGCCAATCCTGTGGCTTGAACTCAGGGCCTGGCGCTGTCCCTGAGTTGCTTTTTGCTCAAGGCTAGTGCTCTACCACTTTGAGCCACAGCTCTACTTCTGATTTTCTGGTGGTTAATTGGAGATGAGAGTCTCAGTCCTGGGCTGGGAAGGTGGCTCAGTAGTAGAATGCTCACCTAGCCTGCATGAAGCCCTGAGTTCGATTCCTCAGTACCACATACACAGAAAAGGCTGGAAGTGGCACTGTGGCTCAAGTGGAAGAGCACTAACCTTGAGCTGAGGAGCTGAGGGACAGCACCCAGGCCCTGAGTTCAAGCCCCACAACTGACCAAAAAAAAAAAAAAAAAGCAAAAAACTCATTTTAGAGCCTCACCTGGGGAACATTGCATAGGTACCGCAGGACCTCACCCACATACAGAACCACAGTCACGCCTTGCTGCCGACAGTCATCCCAGAAGCAGGAGGCCGAGAACTTGGGGACCAGGACACAGGTGGCTCCTGGGAGGGGGAGTAGTAGTTATGCTTCAGGTTTCTGTGAGAATCTGGTTACCTGATTGTGATTCTTGGAACCCAAGACAATGCTAAGGTGATGTTTGTTTGTTTTTATTGGTTAGTCATGAGGCTTGAACTCAGGTTCTGGGCAGTGTCCCTGAGCTTTTCAGCTCAAGGCTAGCGCTCTACCACTAGAAGCCACAACAGTACTTCTGGTTTTCTGGTGGTTAATTGGAGATGAGTCTCACAGACTTTCTTGGCCAGGCTGGCTTTGAACCACAATCCTCAGATCTCAGCCTCCTGTGTAGCTAGGATTACAGGCAGGAGCCACTGGTGCCCGGCCTAGTAGTAATTTTATTCACTCAGAAGGGCAGTCTTCTCTCCTGATGCCTTGCCTTTCTCTGCATCTGGCTTACCATTCCTGCACCCAAAGGAGAAACAAACTGTTCATGTGCTTGAACAAACATTTGTTTTCCTTGAGAAAAAAAAATATATATATATATATATTTTTTTTTTTTGTCGGTCGTGGGGCTTGAACTCTGGGCCTGAGTGCTGTCCCTCAGCTCTTCAGCTCAAGGCGAGCGCTCTACCACTTGAGCTACAGCGCCACTTCCAGTCTTCTGGTGGTTTATTGGAGATAGGAATCTCACGTTCTCTCCTGCCCAGGCTGGCTTTGAACCGCGATCCTCAGATCTCAGCCTCCTGAGTAGCTAGGATTACAGGCGTGAGCCACCAGAGCCCGGCTTGAGAAAATATTTTTATCCTGAAGGTAACAATTCTCTCTCTGAAAATGAACCCCAGGGGGCTGGGAAGGTGGCTCAGTGGTAGAGCGCTTGCCTTGCATGCATGAGGCCCTGAGTTCGATTCCTCAGCACCACATAAGCAAAAAGAAAAAAGCCGGAAGTGACTCTGTGGCTCAATTGGTAGAGTGCTGTCCTTGAGCAAAAGAAGCTCAGAGACAGAGCCACGGCCCTGAGTTCAAGCCCCGGTACTTGCAAAAAAAAATTGTATGCAATGTCTAGGATTTACTATAAAATAAATCAGAAAAGAAACGAGGTATATACAAGAAAACTGCTAATACTCAGCAGTATTGGCAGTTCACACCTGTAATCCTAGCTAGTCAGGAGGCTGAGATCTGAGAATCTTGGTTCAGAGGCAGCTCAGACAGACAAATCTGAAGGATTAATCTCCAATTAACCAGAAAAAAATCTGCAACTGAAGGCATGGCTCCAGTGGTAGAGTGATAACGATGAGCAAAAAAGTAGAGCAAGAGTATGAGGCCTTGAGTTCAAGTACCAACACACACACACCAGCAGAATGTGGGATGGAGTGCTGGGTAAGAATTCCTCACTGACTTCTCTGGCTGGGATCTCCATCACCTTCTACTCCTTGGATGCCCATCTCTCCTATCAGCTCTCCTCACTTCCCAAGGCACAGCCATCAGGGACCATCTTGGTGTCTGGGCCTCTGTCTGTGTGCCATGGAGCTTCTTGCCATGTGTTCTTTACCAGAAGAAGCCAGAATATGGGTCGGGTATTTCATTATTTTACCTTATAAGCAGTGCTGAGGTTTCACTGCAGGTCCTTGTGCAGGCTCTCTACTATTTGAGTCATGCCTCCAGCCCTTTTTCTTTTTTTTTTTGCAGGTCCTGGGACTTGACAGGGCCTGGGCACTGTCCCTGAGCCTCTCTGTGCTCAAGGCCAGCGCTCTACCACTTCAGCCACGGTACCACTTCTGGCTTTTTCTGTTTGTATACTGAGTGAGGAATCGAACTTAAGAGCTTTATGCATACTAGGTAGGCCAGTCCTCTACCACTGAGCCACACCCCCAGCCCTCCTCCTGTCCTTTGTCTCCTGAGTAGCTTGGATTACAGGGCTAAATCACCCTAACTGACACACCAATGTCATCATCCTGACTGACTCACCCTGACATCCAACTCTAGTGGTTCTACGAATTGGAGGGATCATGGGCTAGGAAGGTGGCTCGGTGGGAGAGTGCTTGCCTTGCATGAATGAGGTTCTGGGTTCGATTCCTCAGCACCACATAAGCAAAAAAGAAAAAAAAAAAACAGAAGTGGCACACTGTGGCTCATGTGGTAGGGCACTAGCCTTGAGCTAAAGAGAGGAGAGTTCAGGCCCCACGACCCGACCAAAAAAAAAAACAAAAACAAATTGGAAGGATCCGGAGAAAGACTTACCGAGTTCTAAGCAGCCGAGAAGTCCGACAATAAGCCCCATGGAGTGGTACAGAGGCAGAACATTGTAGACTACGTCGTCCCTTGTGGCCCCACAGAAGGATATCAGTGTGCTCATCTGCAGTGCCCGCTCATGAGAGATGATGGCTGGTTTGGGGAGCCCTGGGAGGAAAGGAGCAGAAAGGTGGGAGGGGACCAATCCAGTGGGCCCTCCACATTGGGTCTTCCTGGGCTTAAGGTTCAGGGGGAGCAGGGAGGGGAGAGGGTGGTGAGAGTGGGAACTTGCAGGTGGCCTCTGAGGCTGAACTGCAGCCGAGGATAACTGGACTAGGCCAAAGATCAGCGAGGGCCTCAGTGCCAAGTACTGGACAGACGCCACAGTCTAGTACTAACCATATAAATTATAGTTGGGACTGGAGTTAAGGTCAGAAGCTCATATCCAGTGTCAGGGTTGGCGTCAGAGGACAAATTCCAGGCATGGGGCTGTGTGATCAGGTCAGGGTAGCTCTGGGGGCTGGGGCCAGGCCCCTGGCACCCTTACCTGTGGTCCCTGAGGTATAGATGAATAGGGCAGGGCTTCGCCATGTGACTTCCTTACGCAAGTGGGCAGGCACTGGGTCAGAGGGTGCAGCATCCAAGGCCGCTCCCAGAGCCCCAACACCCAGGGTTGGGGTCCTGTGGCTGATGTAGACACAGCGGATGTTTTGGGCTCGGAGCTCAGGAAGAACCTCCTCAAGGTTCTCCTGGAGGTCTAGAGGGATGGTTAGAGGAGAAGCAGAGGTGAAGCTTTCCTGTGAGGCCAAGAGGAGGACTGGAGACAGAATAGCAGCAGCCAACAGAGGAAAGCTTTCTTATTCTTTGGTAAAGAGTCGTGTAGGGGCTGGGAAGGTGGCTCAGTGGAAGAGCGCTTGCCTTGCATGCCTGAGGCCCTGAGTTCGATTCCTCAGCACCACATAAACAAAAAGTAAAAAGCTGGAAATGGTGCTGTGGCTCAAGTGGTAGAGCGCTAGCCTTGAGCTGAAGAGCTGAGGGACAGCGCCCAGACCCAGAGTTCAGGCCCCACAACCAGACAAAAGAAATAAATAGGGGCTGGGAAGGTGGCTCAGTGGTAGAGCACTTGCCTTGCATGCATGAGGCCCTGGGTTCGATTCCTCAGCACCACATAAGCAAAAAGAAAAAAGCCGGAAGTGGCGCTGTGGCTCTAGTGGTAGAGTGCTAGCCTTGAGCTGAAGAGCTGAGGGACAGCGCCCAGGCCCAGAGTTCAGGCCCCATAACCGGACCAAAAAATAAATAAATAAAAATAAAATTTTTGTCAAATAGTATTGAAATAGTCATTTTTGTTAAATGAAGCAAAACCAAACCCAGTGACCTCAGCATTATTTTCTAGTTAAATTTTAATACGAAGCTGGGTGCTGGTGGCTCACGCCTGTAATCCTAGCTACTCAGGAGGCTGAGTAGCTGATCTAAGGATCTGGGTTTCAAAGCCAGCCTGGGCAGGAAAGGCTATAAGACTCTTATCTCCAATGAACCACCAAAAAACCAGAAGTGGTATCGTTGCTCAAGTGGTAGAGCACTTGCCTTGGGCTGAAGAGCTAAGGGACAGTGTGCAACCCAGAGTTCAAGGCCCACGACCGTCAAAAAAAAAAAATTAATACAAATTGCCAGTGGCATGAGTAGATGGGTAAAAAAGACTTCTCGGCCCCACCAGAGCCCCTGGTCTTTTGTTCAAGCCTTGCCCCACCCTGCCCTTCCCCCACCAGCCCCGTGTCCACTCACTTGGGTCTATCACCAGAGCCTCTGGCCTGTGTTCATCCCTTGCCACTCCCCGTCTCTCCCCCACCGGCCTTGTTTCTACTCACCTGGGCTGACCAGCAGCACCTTGGCCCCAGAAACCGTCACTGAGTGCACCAGGGGTGGCCCGCGCACATGTGGGTTGATCCAGGCTGTCGGGCAGCCCAGCTTGGCCAGCCCCAGCCACAAGCTCAGAGCAGGAATTGCCCAGGAACCCTGAACCAAGAGGGCCACTGGCTCCATGGCCCTCAGGCCCCCGGGACCACCCAGTTCAGCCCTCAGGGCCCAGGCTGCCTGGCAGGCCCGGGCGTTCAGCTGGCCCATGGTAACTGAACAGGCTTCAGGCCCTATCCACCTCACAGACACCCGGTCAGGCTGTGCTTGTGCTCTCCGTTCAAAGGCATCCACAAAGGTGTCAGGAGGCTTTCGTTTCAAGCGTGTCCTGATGTATAGGCCCAGGCGGAGCATCTTGATCACGTAGCCCACATCTACAGGCAGCCAGCGTAACTCTGGGGGGAGTCTTGGAGGCAACAGAGTCAGTGTAAGTGCCGCCACAGCCAGGCTCAGCCAGTGGGGCATCCAGGGGTTAATCCAAGGCCAAGACAGTACCACCAGGCCGAGCAGCCCAAAGCTTGTGAGGTCTCCCAGGAGCCGGTGCAGGACCAGGGCCACAAGGGCTGGCCACATAGGCTGCCCTAGGCCCCCCATAAGTAGCAGCAACAGCAGCAGAAAGACCAGCCACTGTCTGACCCCCATGGTACCAGAGGAATGATGGAATTCGTACTCTGGCTCAGAGTCTGTGGTACTGACTTCCTGTCCAAATGTTCCCTCCCTCACAGACCATAGCTTAGTGGGTCCAAAGGGGACTCTGCCCATTGCTTTGTTGCCACTAGCTCTATTGAGGCAGGGTAAACAGAGGAAAGGAGGCTTGGTGAATTTAGAAACACAAAAGCACTATCTTTGCTTCAAAGACAGACAAGGGAAACATTCCTTCCTGAGGGTTACATTTCTGATCCATAGTCAGACGCGTTATCCATTCTGAGGGTTACATTTCTCACCTCAAGAATTAACGTTTGTCTGGCTTCCTGAGAGAGATACTCCCTCAAAACAAGCAACCTCCTACCCAAAATGCAGACAACATGAGGCCTCCTTATCTCAAGGATAAGCATCTGTTTTATGGCAGGATGCATTCTTACCCGGAAAAGAAATGCCCCAAACATCCAGAAACTCAGAAAGTGTAACACCAGGAGTGGTCAGAGCAAAGAAAACATCTACCTTTGCATAACTTTGAAGTCAGACCCCAGTCTTACCATAAAATACTCCTGAGGCCAATGAGCTGTGTATCTCTCTTCCCTCACTTTGAGAGCACAGAGCGTGCCCTGCCTTTCTGCTTGTCCTTTTTTTTTGTTTGTTTGCTTTTTGCCTGTTTGCTTGCCTGCTTGCTTATTTACTCAACAAAGTTCTACCAAAGTTTTCTTACCACCGTGACTGTCCAGAAAGTCTTGTTCTGCAATCAAAGTCAAGGACCCTAAGTGAAGAGTCCCTACTTTTAGAGGGAAACTTTACTAACCCTCACCTGCATCTGGTGACATACCTGTTGCTTCTGTTGCTGACTTTTGACCCTTAAGTACCTTCTCTTTGGCTCTGCTGTTACAGACCACTGATCTCCCTAAGCAAGAAGGCAGCCTTGACTATTTGCCAAGGCGCCCGTGTCAGGTAGAGTGCAGAGGTGTGCACAGAAGAGCGGCCCTGCACCCTATCCCTGACCATTCTATAGGACCAAATAAGAAAGCAGCTCGTTTACACAAGAATGTTAGCTTAGGAGCTTATGTTCACCCCGGGGTTGTTTTCTACTAAAATAGTATCTGCTTTGTGTTAGATAAGAAATTTAGCCAGGGGGCTGAGGATGTGGCTCAGTGGTAGAGCGCTTGCCTTGCATGCATGAGGCCCTGGGTTCGATTCCTCAGCACCACATATGCAGAAAAAAAAGCCAGAAGTGGTGCTGTGGCTCAAGTGGTAGCGTGCTAGCCTTGAGCTGAAGAGCTGAGAGACAGCACCCAGGCCCAGAGTTCAGGCCCCATGACCGGACCCCCCCCCCCCAAAAAAAAAAGAAAAAGAAATTTAGCTAGGCTGGGTGCTGGTGCTCACACCTGTAATCCTGAGATCTGAGGATCGTGGTTCAAAGCCAGCCTGGGCAGAAGTCTGTAAGACTTGGGGCTCGTGGCCTGGACACTGTCCCTGAGCTTCTTTGTGCTCAAGGGTAGCATTCTACCACTTGAATAGTTTATTGTAGATAAAGAGTCTCGACTTTCCTGCCTCTCTTGTCCTGTGCTGTCTTTCCTCTGGACTCTGCTTAAGAGACCCTTGCCACTTAGGTGTCCCTGGTATGGGGGCCTTTGCAGTTAAGGCTGCTTTCAGCCTTGCTTAGGGAGATCAGTGGTCCCTGACAGTAGGGCACTAGCCTTGAGCTAATGAAGCTGAGATGGCGCCAAAGCCCTGAGTTCAAGTCCCAATACAGAAAAGAACAAAAAATATCTCATCACTAGTTATGTACAAAGTTTACTGTTTCCTGCCGGGCGCCGGTGGCTCACGCCTGTAATCCTAGCTACTCAGGAGGCTGAGATCTGAGAATCGCGGTTCAAAGCCAGCTCGGGCAGGAAAGACCGTGAGACTCCTATCTCCAATAAACCACTAGAAAACTGGAAGTGGCGCTGTAGCTCAAGTGGTAGAGCCCTTGCCTTGAGCTGAAGAGCTGAGGGACAGCGCCCAGGCCCAGAGTTCAAGCCCCATGACCAACAAAAAAAAAAGTTTACTGTTTCCTATTCCATCATGCTGGATGATAAAAAGTGCCTGGGAGATGAACTAGGGGCCTCTGTCCTCTGATGGGTGCCCCTGGTTTGCCCATTTTGATATCTGAGATTGTGTCTTTCTCATACTGTACTGTCCTTTCTAGTACCTGCTCCTTGCAATGCTGGACGTGACCCTGCCAGCCTCCTTCCTGTTGTTCTGCTTGCCCATCCCTCTTTCTAGGGCTGGCATCTACACTTTTCTTTCTTCACATGCCTACCTAATACTAAGCACTAGGGATACAGGCAGAAACATCTGCCCTACGCTACACTCCACTCTAGCTACACATAAGGGCTCTGCCAGGCTGAGACATTCTTCTGTGGCACTCACACTTTTGTCCCAAGTGGCCAGACTAGTCCAGCCTCCTGGCTATTACAGTGTCTGCTCATGAACCATTTAAAGGATTTTTTTTTTTTTGGGGGGGGGGGTCGGACATAGGGCTTGAACTCTGGCCTGGGTGCTGTCCCTGAGCTCTCCAGCTCAAGCACTACCACTTGAGCTACAGTGGCACTTCTGGTTTTCTGGTGGTTAAATGGAGATGAGTCTTATAGCCGTTTCTGCCAGGGCTGGCTTTGAAATGATCCTCAGATCTCAGCCTCCTGAGTAGTTAGGATGACAGGCGTGAGCCTCTGGCACCCAGCAGGAATCTTTTTTTTTGGTTGGTTGTGGGGCTTGAACTCTGGACTTGGGTGCTGTCCCTGTGCTCCTGACTCAAGGCGAGCACTCTACTGCTTGAGCCACAGCACCACTTCTGGTTTTCTAGTGGTTAATTGGAGATGTCTCACATTTCTGCCTGGGCTGGCTTTGAACCATGATCCTCAGATCTCAGCCTCCTGAGTAGCTAGGATTACAGGCATGAGCCACCAGCGCCCGGCTAAGAATCTTTATAATAGGGACTCATGGCCAAATTCCGTCTCCACCATGAACTTATACTGGGACTCTACCTCACTTCAAGTATCCTTGTGAATTAGATTGAGTCTTGGGTTTAACCAATAGAGAAGCCTCATGGTCCGAAGCTTTTCAACTGTAGAGGGTGGGAAGGTGTGCTTCAAGCAGGTATACTCTGAAATTCACCTCTGGTGTCACTTTCACACACCCATCTGGGTAGCCCTTGGTCCTGCACCATTGCTGCTTTCCTTCTCTGCTCTCCCCTTATCACATCATCTACAGTCTTGGCTGTGCTTGATACCTAGCAGTCAGGGCCGATAGCAGCATAGCAGCTGGGCCCGAGAGATACCCTCCCCCCAAATCCTTGCTACAATTGGGATAGGGTCTCACTCAGGCTGGTGTGGACATGCGTGTGTTCAGCAAACTCTTTTGAATGAAACCCTTGCCACAGTACCAAAAATAAGGCACTTAAATTATCATGCTGATCAGAATAGTCCTAGGGCTTGAACTGTGGGCTTGGCTGTCTCTGAGGCTCCTTTTTGTACAAGGCTATCACTCTACCACTTGGGCCACTTCCAACTTTCCAGCTTCCTGGCTTTCCTGCCAGGCTGGCTTCAAACTGTGATCCTCAGATCTCAGTCTCCTGAGTAACTGCCATTATAGGCATGAGCCACTAGCACCCCATGGAGAGGCAAATCTTAAGTTCATGACTCTTTTTTTTTTTTCCGCTGTGGGGCCTGAACTCTGGTCCTGGGCGCTGTCCCTCAGCTCTTCAGCTCAAGGCTAGCGCTCTACCACTTGAGCCACAGCACCACTTCCGGCTTTTTTCTTTTTGCTTATGTGGTGCTGAGGAATCGAACCCAGGGCCTTAGGCATGCAAGACAAGCGCTCTACCACTGAGCCACCTTCCCAGCCCTCGTGACTCTTTTTTGTGGGTCATGGGGTTTGAACTCTGGGTCTGGTGCTGTCCCTGTGCTCTTCAGCTCAAGGCAAGCGCTTTACCACTTGAGCCATAGCACCACTTCCACTTTTCTAGTGGTTTATTAGAGGTAAGAGTCTCATGGACTTTTCTGCCCAGGCTAGCTTTGAACCATGATCCTCAGATCTCAGCCTCCCTGAGTAGCTAGGCTTACAGGTATGAGCCACCGGCACCTGGCTTGTGAGACTCATCTCCAATTAAACACCAGAAAAGAAAAGAAAAAAAAAGAAACCCCAGAGTGGCTGGGTGCTGGTGCATCATGCCTGTAACCCTAGCTACTCAGGAGGCTAAGATCTGAGGATCAGGGTTTGAAGCCAGCCTAGGCAAGAAGGTCTGTGAGATTCTTAGCTCCAACCAAACATTCTAAAACCAGAAGTAGAACTGTGGCTTGAGCCGGGCGCTGGTGGCTCACGCCTGTAATCCTAGCTACTCAGGAGGCTGAGATCTGAAGATCGCGGTTCAAAGCCAGCCCGGGCAGGAGAGACCATGAAACTCCTATCTCCAATAAACCACCAGAAAACCGGAAGTGGCGCTGTAGCTCAAGTGGTAGAGCGCTCACTTTGAGCTGAAGAGCTGAGGGACAGCACCCAGGCCCAGGGTTCAAGCCCCTCGACCGACAAAAAAAAAAAAACAAAAAAAAAAACCTGTGGCTTGAAGTGATAAGAGCATTAGCCTTAAGCAAAAGAGCTCAGGAACTGTGCCCAGGCCCTGAGTTCAAGCTCCACAACTGAGAAAACAAAACCACCCAACCAGAAGTGGAGATATGGTTTAAGTGGTAGAGTACTTTGTGCACAAAAACTCAGGGAGAGCGCGTAGGCCAAACTTGAGCCCTAAGATTAGCTCATGCATGTGTGCGTTTGCACATACCCACCCCTGCATCCTAACTGCAGCAGCACTCACTGTTAATGGGGCTGGGATTCCCTGCCCCATAGTGTTGGTGGCTCCAAAGCTACACCCACAGTATATTCAGCCCATCCAGACTCTCAAAATTTTGGGATGGTAAAGTAAACCATCCCAGCTATTCAGGAGAGCCTAGGACAGCCTAGTGAGTCTATGGTAACAACACACACTGGCCAAATGTCCTTTTATTAGAGTAGGGTCCCAAGGTTGGGCTCATTCCCTTGGTGGGTCCACCTGACCCTCCTTAGGTATCTGGTAAGGGAAGGGGAACTATGGGTGGGGAGTAAAAGGCCTAGCCCAGCCTAACATTGGGCTAGAGGATGGTCTGGCCTCACCTTGGTAGGGGAAGGGTTGCAAACTGGTGTCAGACACATGATTCCTCAGCTGCCGAGGTCTTGGGTGCTCAGCTTAGTCTGGAAATTGTCTAGTTCCTCAGCATCCCCTACCTGCTTTCCTACTCAGAGGATCAAAAGTGGGTGTGGAAAGAGAAAAGGCAGGAGGAGAGTATGGGCAGAAAAGGAGTAGGCTGGGCTGGACCCCGGGTTCGTGCAGAGGAAGGACTGGTCCCAGCCTGTTGGCCAAAATGTGGTCATGGTGCTGTGGCAAGTGTGGCCATTGCCCCTTGTTCGATTCTCCTGTGAGACTCCCCATCAGGGTGCAGGGTGTGCCGCCAGGTGGCGCTCCAGCAGCGCTCGGTGTGAGAAGACCTTGCCGCAGGCTGGACAGGGTGCTCGCTCAGGCCGGTGGGTACGCATGTGTACATTGAGTGAACTCTTTTGGGTGAATCGCTTGGCACAGACTGCGCACTGAAAGGCACGCACACCGGTGTGTGTGACCATGTGCTTGAGCAGGTAGTCGCGCAACGAGAAGGATCGCCAGCAAACTGCACACTGGTGTGGCTTCTCCCCTGTGGATGACAGGGCGAACCAGAATTGTTTGTCAGACCAATCCGCTCGCCAAAACCTTTCCCTGGTAGCAACCTTACCTTCCTTCCAAACCGGCCATCACCCCAGGATTCCCTTGCCTGTGGGGGGAAGCTCACTCTGGGATCCTCCTGGTCATCAGGAAGCCCTTCACAGGGACCCAGGACCCAAACTGTAATCCTTATATTCCATCTCCTGGCAGGGGGTCCTCACACCTGCTGCCCACACAGATCTTTCCCAATCTCTGGGGGCCTTCTTCCCATACTCACACCTTACCACAAATAAGGAGATAAGAGTACCTGCTGTGCTCCACATAGGTAGGGGAACCTTTCCTCCCTCACCTTACTAAATAAAGGGCTCAATTTCCTGGTCCCTGGGGTACCCAGAAAGCAATAAAGTCACAGAAGTGCCCAATTCTACCTAAGGCTTGGATTTCTGATGAATGAGGGTCTCAGAAACCTGTGTGGTGGGAGTATAAGTTTTTTTTTTCCCTCCCAACCAGCTCACCCGAATGGATGAACATGTGCTTGGTGTAGTTTTTCCGAGAGCTGAATGTCTTTCGGCAATGGCTACATTCGTAGGCTGACTGCTCAGCACCTGGTGCACGGACAGGTGTGGCTGAGGAGGCTGTGCCAGGAGCCACAGGTGGGACTGGCGCTTCCCCAAGCTGAGTGCTGGGAACTGCATCCGGCTGGAGCCCAGGGTAGAAGGCTGATGAGGGCACAGGAGCTGGGCTTGGCTGCGTGGAAGGGGGTGGCCCAGGTGGCCCGGGGGCCCCCAGGTGAAAAGGGAAGAGTGCAACAGTGGGCTCTGAGGTCTTCACGCCTGGTGCCCGGGACCCTGCTAGGGCGCAATCGGGCGGAACAGGGGTCTCCGAGGAACAGCCTTCTGCTGCAGTGCCATCCTCCTCGTGCCAAGCAGACATGTAGGGGTCTGGGAATGTGTCCTCAGCCACTGTAGCCCCTGGAAGGAAATCTCTTCCAGTACCGCCATAGTCTGCTAGGCCAGGAGGCCCAGGGCGATCGTCGCGAAGGCTGTCAGGGGCAGTGGTGAGGAAGCCTGTAGCACAGTCAGGAAAGGAAGGCGGTGCCTGGCTCTCCCCTAGGCCACCAGTTTCACCCTCTTCACACTCAGTCTCCTCATCAGTCTCCTCCTCGTCGTCCTCACCTCTGTCGTCAGGGGCTGTGGGCAATGCTGGCTGTGTATCTGGCCCCTCGGCCTTGCTAGGTGCCTGGGGTGCAGGCAGCTGCAGGCGTGCAGGCTGGCGCTGCTTGCGGCTGTGCGCAGTACCCAGGTGCCCGGGAGGTCGTGCAGCTAGCAAGTGGCGCAGGCGGTGGCGCAGCTGTGCAGGCGCAAGTGGCGGGGGCACCGGTGTAGGCAGGGCCACTGCTGCTGGGGTGCCCGGGGCACGTGCTCGGGCAATTATCTGGGTGCACTCATCGATGACCGTCTGGATGCGGAGCACCGATGCTGCAGTGAGCACCTGCAGCGCTTCGCCCTGAGCTACCACCAGTGAACCGCTATAGAGGAACTCTACAAGCTGGCGGACCGTCTGTGCTGGCACCACTGGGGGCACACGGATCTCGGAGTGGCCAAGCAGCAGCTTGTCCTGGAAGAAAGGTGAACCCGCAGCCAGCACGCATCGGTGCGCACGCAGTGAGGCCTCGCGAATGCGCACAGTCACATCACAAAAGTGCCCCCCCAGCCTCTGTCCATTGAGGGTCTCAAGCAGGGAGCGGGAAAAGTTCTGAAGGTGGATGTGGTGCACTGCCTCTGCCGCCGCCATCTGCGTGGGACGAGGACATAGGACAGGGGAGGTCATTCAAGGGTCTCTTCTGCCCCAGCATCCTGGTCACCTCAGCCACCACCACAGGGCAGGTGGCTCCCAGGCCTGGCTGACTTCATCCCTTCCCAAAACAGTCCGTTTCCAACTCAGAGCTCCTCCCATGCTCCTGCTCAAAGTCCTTTGAAATGCTTTACACCTTACAGCGTCCAGCATGCCTCCTAGCCTTTCTCTGCCCCAAGGAGAGCTCACCCAGGTCCAACTCCAGTATTCTTATGACACCTCCAAATTCTCTACTACACCTACCAAGCAAGTGACCTCTACCAGCTGTGTTCACTTCCCCGCTACCAAACAGGGTTGTTATTCTTGGTTCATTCTGTACCCACTTCAGGTCCCAGGTGGTCAACAAGTAGGATACACAGACAGGTGTCCACTGTCTACCAGTATGTCAAGGCCGAGACACACTACTCAATGCTGCCCCTGTGCCTTTAGGGTCTATCGGGGTTCTCAAGCTCAGTCCTTTTTGTTGTTGTAGTCGGTTGCGGGTCTTGAACTCAGGGCCTGAGCATAAGGCTGGCGTTCTGCCACTTTGAGGCACAGCACCTGTTTTCTGTCTTAGGGACCGTCTTTTTTTTTTGATCGGTCGTGGGGTTTGAACTCTGGGCTTGGGCACTGCCCTTGTGCTCTTCAGCTCAAGGCGAGCGCTCTACTGTTTGAGCCCCAATGCCACTTCTGGTTTTCTAGTGGTTTATTGGAGATAAGAGTCTCACAGACTTTCCTGCCCCGGCTGGCTTTGAACCTCGATCCTCAGATCTCAGCCTCCTGAGTAGCTAGGGTGACAGGCGTGAGCCACCGGCGCCCGGCTAGGACTGCTTCCATCTTAGCCTGACTGGGATTACAGGCGGGAGCCCCAGCGCCCGGCCCCGCCTTGGGCTTCTGAAGCAAAACAACAACAGAATAAACCCTCTTTCCTTCACTGCAGCCGACCACCCTCCTTTCCCGGGACCGACGTCTGACCTCAGTGCATCTCCCAGGCTGCAGCAGCATCGCTGCCGCCGGACGCCGCGCCCCCAAGGCCCACCAACGGGTCCTCGCAAGGGCAGCGGCTAGGGAAGCGCGGCGAGGCCGAGCCGGCCCGAAGCGCGGAGCCCACTGCACCGCGGCAAGCCTCCCCGCGGCCGCGGCCTCCATCACGCGCCCGCCCCGGGTCAGCTCCCCGCCCCGCAGGGCTCCAGACCTCGTCTCCGCTACCCCTGGCCCCTCGGAGCCGCCTCACCCGGAGGCAGCAGCGCCTTCCCGGATCCTCAGAACAAAGACCCGGCGGGTGGGGGGGTCTCCCCGCCACGCCTCTGTCCACGTCACGCACCTCGCTCCGAGCGCTCGGCCCGCGCCGCGCACCAGCACCCGCCCCGCTCAGCGCCCGGGTCCCCCAGTCCCGCGGCGGCCCCGGCTTCCCGCCGCCGCGCCCGCGGCCTGACCCTGTAGCGCCCTCTCGCGCCCGCAGAGGGCGCCGGGCCCGGCCTCGGCCCGCCCCGGCCTCCCCGCCCGGCCCCACCTCCAACTTCTGCTCCGGCCGCAGCCCGGCAATGGCCACCGCTGTTCACCAACCCGGAGTCCGAACTTCCGGGTCGCGACGCCGGCGGAACCTAGGGCCGCGGCGGCCACGGCACGCGCTCTGCGGCACGCTTCCGGGGTTTCTATGGAGATCTGCCGCCGCCAGGCCACACTTCCGCTTCCTGTTGGGAGCGGAACCAAACTCTCCGAAGCCGGAATGGCGGGGACGACGGGGTTGACGGGGTTTCCGGTCCAGAGCACGCTTCCGTCGTAGCCCTGGCGACCAGGTAGGCCTGAGCCACTCACAGGCCTCCTCTCGGCGCTTGGGACCCTACCGCGGGGACCCCGGGGCAGCCGCGGAGACGGTCTTCCGGCCCGAGGTCGCCCCCCATTCCCCGAGCGGCCTGGACGCCTCCTCGCGGCGACGCCGCCGTCCTGCCCTCACTCAGGCCGCCCGGAGCTGAGGTGCCTCCGTCCGACCTAAGCAGTCCGAAAGAGGCGAGGGAGCCTCGGAGAGGACCTGCCGAAGCCCTCGGGGGACAGGGTCTACCCGCAGGGCGGGCTGGGCGGAGAGCCGACTCAGCCTCGCCCTGACCCGGGCCTGGGGCCGGAGCACGGCGGAGGGGCCTGGGCCGGAGGGTTTGGGCTGAGGGCCCCGGTGCCCTTCGCCTTTCACGGTAGATCCAGAGTCACAGCCGGAGGCTGACGGTCACCTTCCGAGGAGAGCCGGGAGGGATGCCTGCCTCGCACCTTAGGTCGGTAGCTGTGATGTTTTGAGGGTTGGGAGGAAGAAAAATATACCCAGTGGCAAACACGATTAAAACCCACATCTAAGCCGTTTGCGGGTGGCTCATGCCTGTCAGCTGCTGAGGAGGCTGAGATCTGAGGATCGCGGTTCAAAGCCAGCCTGGGCAGAAAAGTCTGTGAGACTCATCTCCAATAAACTACTCTGAAAAGGCCGGAAATAGTGCTGTGGCTAAATCGTAGAGCGCTAGCCTTGAACACAAAGAGGCTCAGCAGGCCCTGAGTTCAAGCCCCAGGACTGAAAAAAAAAATCCAAATCTAAAGTGGGAACCTGGTGCTCATACCTATAATCCTAGCTGCTCAGGAAGCTGGATCTGAGTATTGTAGTTCCGATTATGCTTGGGAGACAAACACAGGAGACTCCTACTACCAGTTAACCACCAACAAAGCTAAAAGTAGAGCTGTAGTTCAAGTGATAGAGCCCCAGCCTCCCGTGAAAAAGCCAGGCAAGAGTCCAATTCCCTGAGTTCAAACCCAGTACCGACACACACACAATTACTGAAAAAGATTACTCTGTTGAGTTGGCATTGTGAAATTAATAGCCATATTGGTTTAGAAACAAACAATTTTTCCCATTTGCACAGGGACATAAGCACTGTATTAAATATGAAAGGTCTTATCTATGTGGATTTGATTACAGAAACTAATTCTCTAAAGAACTTTAAGAAAATATTACTAATCAAGTGATCTTAAAATAAGATAACCTGGGATTATTTGGGTAGTTCCAGGGTAAACATCACAAGACACTTAAAGACAGGAAGACTAGGGGCTGGGAAGGTGGCTCAGTGGTAGAACACTTGCCTTGCTTGCATGAGGCTCTGGGTTCGATTCCTCAGTACCACATAAGCAGAAAAAAAAAAGCCGGAAGTGGTGCTATGGCTCAAGTGGTAGAGCACTAGCTTTGAGCTGAGGGACAGTGCCCAGGGCCCAGAATTCAGGCCCCACGACCGGACCCTCCCCCCCCCAAAAAAAGACAGGAAGACTAGGTTTGAGACCTTGGTTCAAATAATAGAGTACCTCAAAAGCCCAAGTCCCAAGTCCAAACGCTAGTATCCCCCCACCAAAAAAAAAAAAAAGTATACTAAACTTGGGAGAAGAACAAATCAACAGAATCCAAGACGAGCCCAGGACAATAACTTGGAAGAAAATAAGGACCTCAGCACTACAGCTGGATGAAACTGCTTTCTGCCCACAATTCGAATGAGCTAAGAAGTAGATTCCTCAGTCAGGTACCAGTGGCTCACACCTGTAATTCTAGCTTCTAAGGAGGCTGATCTCTGAGGATCACAGTTCAAAGCCACCCCAGGCAGGAAAGGCCATGCAACTCTGATCTTCAATAGACTACCAGAAAACTGGAACTGGCGCTGTGGCTCAAAATATTAGAGTGCTAGTGTTGAGCAAAAAGAGCTCAGGGTCAGTGCCCAGGCCATGAGTTCAAGCCCCACAATCCACCAGCAAAAAACCTCTGGAATATTCTAGACCAGCTGATTGGTAGCCAATGCACCCCTCCCCTTATTTATTGTCATAGGACTTGAACTCAGGGCCTGGACACTGTCCCTGAACATTTTGCTCAAGGCTATTATTTTACCACTGGAGCCACAGCTCCACTTCCAGCTTTTTGGTGGTTACGTGGAGATGGACTTTCCTTCCAGGCTGCCTTTGAACCATGAACTTCAGATCTCAGATCTCTTCCTCAGTAGCTAGGATTACAGACGTGAGCCACCTGCTCTTGGATCCAATGCCCTTTTTTTTAAGTAGAAAAGGGTGTTGCAGCCAAAAGCTGATGACTCAAGCTAGTAATCCTAGCTACTCTAAGAGTCTCTGATCTGAGGATTTCGGTTTGTAGCCAGCTCAGGCAGAAAAGCCCCCATGGGACTCTTATCTCCAATTAACCACTCAAAAAACAGAAGTGGAGTTGTACTCCAAGTACTAGAGCACTAGCCTGGAGCAGAAGAGCTAGGAACCAGTGCCCAGGCCCTAACCGCCTAAAGAAAAAGGGTGTCGCTGGGCACAGGTGGCTCAAGCCTATAATCCTAGCTACGCTGGAGGCTGAAATCTGAGGATCGTGGTTCAAAGCCAGCCTGGGCAGGAAAGTTCATGAGACTCTTTATCTCCAATAAACCACCAGAAAATGAGAAGTGGTGGTGTGGCTCAAGTGATGGATCTCTGGCCTTGAGCTGAAGAGCGTAGGGACAGTGCCCAGGCCCAGAGTTCAAGCCCCATGACTGACCACCACCACCAACAAAAAAAAGGGGTGTTGCTTTCAGCCTTTGAGTGTGCTCATTTGTTTTAGTAGCAACAGAAAACAAGTATACTTGTTAAGATCCAGAGCCTCCACACAGAAAGTATGAAAATTCTGTTGTTTTTCTCACTTGATGAACCCAGTAGCATATCCTGTATAGCTAAGGCATAACTCTCCTACATCAGCCTCCCTAGTGCTAGGATTTTGGGTTTACTCCATTTGACAACACACCAGCTTCACATCTGTTTTCTCTACTCAGTGCTTGGTCTCCCCAGCCTGCATGAGACACCTCTTTGATCTCATTCCCCTTACAGCAGCTCTTGCAACTCCAACCTACAAACAGAAACAATAGAGCTTCCATGGATGGAAGAGGCTCACTGAGTTGGAAAAAGAACAATGAACAGGGCTGGGAAGGTTGCTCAGTGGTAGAGCGCTTGCCTTGCATGCATGAGGCCCTGGGTTCGATTCCTCAGCACCACATAAGCAGGAAAAAAAAAGCCAGTAGTGGTGCTATGGCTCAAGTGGTAGAGCGCTATTGAGCTGAAGAGCTAAGAGACAGTGCCCAGGCCCAGAGTTCAGGCCCCACGACCGGACACCCCCCCCCCAAAAAAAAAAAAAGAACAAACAGCTAGAAAGGTATGACACTGAAACCTGAGTTTTAGACCCCAGGTCCAGACTTCTGGAGTTCTATGTTAAGTGTCAGTAGCCACTCCTCTGCCAAAGGGGCAGAGAAAGGAGATTCATTACATGGCATGGCAGACTTGGGAAGCCATCCTTCAGCCTCTCTTCAGCTGTCTTTTGAGTGCTACAGGTTTAAATAGACAACAGGAGCGTTGTAATGTGGAATTAAAAAGCCCCAGGCCTCATTATCTCAGTCCTTGTAAAGCATAAGGCTCCAGAGAAATTATTCCTTCATCACTTGAGAAAGAACAGCCTGGCTAAGATAAACAGGTCACTGATGCCCTGGTTCATTCTTTGCAGGGTTCCAAGTGACTTTAGGAGAGAAGGGCAAAGGGCAGATACAAAATGGAGGCTGGGACAGGGGCTAGTGACTTACACCTGTGATCTTGGCTACTCAGGAGGCTGGGATCTGAAGATCGCAGTTTGAAGCCAGCCAGGGCAAAGTCTTGGATCTCCAATTAACCACAGAAAACTAAAAGTGGAGGTGAGGCTCAAGTAGTAGAGCACTAGCCTTGCACCCAAAAACTCAGAGACAACACCCAGGTCCAGAGTTCAATCCCCAGGGCCAGTAACAAAAAAAGATTTGGGAAACCTAGCTTTTCTGTTGCCTTTAGATAATTTATATGCAAAAGTATGGAATTAGTGCTTTTCCTGAAAAGCAGTTTTTTTAGTATCTGTTAAAGAGGAAGGTAGCTCTTTATGAGGCAAGTACAGGAACTGTGGGTTGTGTTAGTTACAGGACTGCAGGAGAAGGTGTCAGGGGTAGCAGGCATGCAGCCACTTGAGCTCTAGCTCCACCTCTGGCTTTTTGGGTAGTTAATTTAAGAGTCTCAAAGTAGTTGAGTGCTGAGGATTGCAGTTTGAAGCCAGACCAGGCGAAAAGTCTGGGAGACTCTTTTTTGCTGGTTCTGAGGCTTGAACTTGAGCTCTAGGCCTGAGCACTGTCTCTGAGCTCCTTTTGCTGTAGGCTAGCACTCTATCACTTAAAACTACAGCATCACTTCCATTTTTTTTTAATTTTCTTTTTCTTTTTCTATTGTGAAAATACTGTACAGAGGGGTTACAATTACAAGGACAAGATAATGAGTACATTTCTTATCAAGCATTGTAGCCTCCTCCTTTGTTTCTCCTTCCCATCCTCCTCCCGTCTCCCCACCAAAGTTGTAAAGTTGGTTTTCGACATAAGGACTGGTACATCTCATTGTTGCAATGGGTCCACCTGTATCCTACTTAAACGATTTGTTTTTCCCCTTCCCCTCCACAAATTATACCGACATCAAAGCAAGGGTTGTACTGTGGGGGAGGGACATACAAAGCAACAAAGAAATAATCTTATGTGTTAGAAACAATCCCATGAAA